AGGTAATTGGTTAATGAGTGCAGAGTGCCTGCTAACATGCGATAACATGTTTTCCCTGTCTCCCAAGCTCCCACGTCACACCGCCTCACACAACTATGGTCAACAGTACAGGATCTTTAGTACAGGGTAAAGAGTTTTGGATCAATTTCTGCTCAACCGAAATAATGCCACTTTGCACTGGAGAGTCTGTGAGGTAGATTTAAAGTGTCATTTAATGTGTAAACATCAGAAACTGTTTATTAGCAACCATTATACTTACATTTAATTTTTAACTTTTTTTAACGCTAGCGTTAATATAGAATCTGAGTTTGAGGGTAAAAAAACAGTAGCGTTGAAATGTTATCAATGTTTTAGTATAGTTGCATCACATGTAGTTGAGACTTGAAAGTATCAAAGAAAACCATGAAACAATAAAAAAATAAAGATTTTCTAGGTGCATGTAATTGGAAGTCAACAGAAAATATTAATCATTTAAAATCCATAATTTAGTTAAATTTAGAACATTGTGAGCCTGTATAAAACAGATACATTTTAACTTACTCACTCACTGTCCGGTTTATCGTCTGTTGTTGCCCGTCTTCCAAGGGTTAGTAACACTTAAGTAACACAAATTTACTTCCTGACTACACTAGACAAATCTTCCATAGTAAAAGTTTTCTGTTTCTACACAATTAATTCTTAATAGCACCAAGCAGTCGCTAAATAGTCACTGTAAAGATTGCATTTCTGTATTGTGGTTTTAAACAATATGTGTTTATGATGTATATAGCATGCGTGCCTACACATAGCCATCAGCCACATGGCAAATTTACTGCGTTATGTTGTGTCACGTACAATCAGTATTCCACTGCGACACTTTACAGAGTGCACCTCTAATGCTCCCAGTGACCTCATGGGAAAAAAGCACGACAGACCATCAAAGGATTGAACTTGCAGGAATTTCTATCGATTTTGTAATCTTATTACTGTGTTAACAAATGACAGGGTCTGATTGTGGGTCTTTGTAAGGCCGTGAAAAATGTTGGAATTATTCAATTAAGTCAGAATTCGTTTTACACATTTTTTCAGAGAAATAGACACTGACTTCATGACACCATGTACTTTATCTTGTAAGTCATATAATTAGATTTCAAGTGTTATTTTTTGGTTTTGTAATGGGAGAATAGAAGATTTTCACCAAAAAGAAATTTCGAAAAAGTTGAATCTAAAGGACAAGCTTGTTTATGCCTTTCTGATGTTATTGACGAGCTGGCTTTCAAATTTTAAGCACGTTTAAGGCTGAACACTACTTGATAGTGGGTTGAACTACAAGCGGTGATATAACACCCACACAATTACGTCACTTCGAAGGGAATAACAGCCACAGCTGCATCTGAGAGCTAGTTAAAAATTGTATGTGGGTGGCTTAAGCAGTGAGCATGATTAGAATTTTTTTATAAGCTGATATGTAAGTCAGAACCATATGGTTTCATAAAAGTATATGCAATTTCTTTAGTTAAACACTTCAGTTATTCTCAACCAACCAGCTATAATAGAATTCCCTCTCAGTATGTCATATGGAAGATGAAATAGCACATGAGGTTGTTTGGTGGTACCCGTGGAGCATAGAGCTGTGTGTTACAAGTGCTGGTATGGATGCACTGAGATGCACAGATAACAGGTGCACAGGATACTGTGTGAAATTGGAATTTCTACCTCATTGCTTGGGGGGAAAGATAACAGTTCCCAGAAGAAGACAGAGTCAATGGTGCTCAGATGATGTACCGAGATTGGGATGTGTTTTTGTCATGTTTTGCAGTCAAAAATGTTAAGTAAGGGCACATTATGTTTTATTAGACGATGAAAATATATGGTACATGTCCCAGAGCAGTATGATATTCATCAGTTGTCTTTGACGATGAACTAAATTTCATCTTCATGAGTGGGGGGGGGGGAATAGAGTATAATTGAAATGTAATTCAATTCAACAACTAGAAATTGGAAATCATAGTGTTTTAATTGATAGACATTGCCATGTACAATGTGCCTGCCTTAATGTTATATTCCAACAGCCAAGCAACATTCGTATCCAGTTATCACTGCCAAAACGTAGTCTTGAAAAAACTTAACCTTCATCATGCAAGCAGATATATTAATTAGGAGGGGAGGAGACCCTGAAATTTCTGTTGCAGTTACTAGAATGTGGTCCAAGATGGGGATGGCATTTTCAAGAATCTGTCCTTTGTACATTAATCATAACCACTGCACACATTATTTTAGACTCTAGTGATGATATATGGACAGTGTACGTATGTGTGGTAACCGTGTCCAATTGAGAATTAGAAAACGTTGAATGATCATATGATGACACATGGACTGAAGGTAAGGTCAATTCAGGTGAAGGCAGTTCAGCACCATGGCGGACATTTTCTTTTTTCTTCCGTACAATACCTTTTTACCATAACGAAACCTTCAAGAAAGTGTATGTATGACACAAAGTTGTAGATAATTGTCAAATGTATAAGCTGTTAGGCTATTTTTCACATGACTGAAATTTGTTAACCCAGGAACTTATTAGCATTTTAAGCTGTTACAATCTTGACTTTTTGTCTATTGATTATACAATTGTACATATGATTGTATATCGCCCCTATGATTAGCAAATACCCGTATCTTTTATCATTTGCAAGGTACCAGGGCTCAGAATATAATGATGTCAGTCAATGGTATGTCGCACCTCATTCAAAATTTTACCTTTCCAAAGATGCGATGCCCTTAGGTATTTTGAGCGAGTATGAATTATATTGTGAATGGCGGGTGTTAGAAACAGTTTGACCTCTAACTCTTGTAGGTTTTCCATGAGTGACAGCTTGCTTAAGGTCCTCTCCCAAATCGCCGACCAAAGCAATCATTACCCACGAGGTCAGATCCATCAAACTAACCATCGCTACATGTTCCGGAGACTACACGTTGGTACATCACGTTTCTAACAAATCTTCCCGTCCCGGAGGGTTAATCGACTGAGAGGCGCCAGCGGGCCTAGGCCTTTCCACAGAGGTTAAAGTGCGAAGAATCCAGAGGCAATCACATCTATCTGATGAGGAGAGAGCACGCCCCACTTGGTCATGCACCAAGCAGAGCTGTTCATCACCTCATGGGGAACAAGTTCATTTGTTTTCGACATCTTCTCTCCTCAGGATTTACACAGGAGAGGAGGAGTTTTGCTTTGCATAGAAATCAGGGGTAAGAACTATTGATCGATGGTTATCAGGACTGCCCTGTGCATCCAGAAATGGGAGCGTCGCTGTCTAATTACTGTCCGGTCACATTAAACTTTAAAAGTGAACAGAAGTACAACAGACAGCCCAGTGCAGTACCCAGCATTGCCCAGGCATACTCACACACTGCTAGTAACTTGCACGAGATTAGGACGGGGCTTTTCTGGTCCAGCACTAATCAGTTTGACTTGATCTGGGACTGTACATCTCCTTTAATGGGCACTTGGCTCAGTCTTACTTACAGGGACGCTGGCAGCTGCCTGTAATTAAAACATACATGTAGTCAGCTTCTACTAAGTGAGAACACTGTCTTACAGGGGAGATATGCTGTTATTCACTAATGAAGTCAGCTAGCGTTGTTTTGCTTCTTATGTTTCTATATGACTGTTTCTAGTAAACTGTTGGTAGGTTTCAAATAACATGTCCGTGTTTTAAGTACTATGATAGGCCCAGCTCTTAAATTTTCAACAAATCATATTATAGCGCACATTCTGTAAATCTTGCTCAGAATATCATTTTATGATTTATCATGTCCGTGTTTGAAATTTATACCAAAATCATACATGCACACAAGCTGGTATTGAACTAAACGATTGGACGAAGGAAATGAACCATTCCTACCCAATACTAATGGGTGTTCTAACCGTTAATGGGCTTTCTAACTCCTCCCAAGAAACCAATATAACTTGGTGCCAATTACAGTACCTTTAACCAGGGCCAAAGCTTAGTATCAAATTAATTGGTTTTGCCTTTGAGTGTGACAAATGACCAGTTCCTACAGATCTAGAAGAAGCATTTGTTTTTCAAAAGTGGAAGAAAATGTTCAACATTTTAAGCTTTGATGATTTTAAGCTCCAGGACCTGAAGTAGTATCTTTAACAACTGCTAACTACTAGACCTAGACCATGCTAACGCCAAATCTGTATTCTGGGCAGCAAAGACAGGGTTCTATTTTAACCATTAAGTCAATTAATCCCTAACACATTAGGGAGCAGAGAAACCGTTCAATATGTGCTCCCTCCAACAATGTTAAACCTTAAATCCCTCCCAGCTGTTTCACATGGCCTGAAGGGAAATCTAACTTTGAACCAATCCAGCTGTGTTGTCACGACTTTTGCTTCTTAAGTCCAAGGTTACATGTAGTCGTGCTGTGAAGATTAATGTGGGCTTTCACTGGTATAAGTTAGTGCCGATGATTGCAGTGTACTCACCTTACATGTACAGTGTTCTGTGTCGTGAAGTTTTGTTTTCATGGCTTGGAAATGGGTTAGTTACACTACATTTATCCGGCCTGTTTTCTTTGAATACATGCTGAAAACAGTTGCTTGTTTTGTTCGAATATAAGCTGAGAATGTGCCTAAGTTTGAATATGACTGTATATTATTGTAACTACAGCCAAGAAATAGCTGATACCAAAGGCCTTGACCCAATCTAACAAGGTTAAGTTTATATACACATTTGCCAACAAACAACTGCTGAGTGAGTTATTTACTGTAGCGAACCCAAAGTCAAATCCTTTTTTTCTTTTGGCAAGAGAGTCCAAGTCAATGATTAATGTCAATGTCATTGAACCCCTAGCCTTATTTTTTTCAGTCTGCAAAATTGTAGGTCACTATATTTTTCTTCGGCAACATTGAAAGTGTCTCTGCATACTGCCTGGGTATTTCTAACACTGTCGTGTCATATCACAGTCACAAACAAGTGAATGAACTCTATAGCTAAGTCCTTGTCTGCTTGCCACAGCTCCTGAAGATGCCGACCTGGAACAGCGGTTGACAGAGCTTCGGGAGCGGCTGAGGTTTGCAGAGCTGCAGAACCAGGCACGCTCCAAGGAGCTGCAGGCGCTGCGGGAGGAGATCAAGGCTGCGTTAACCGAGCAGCAGCAGAACAGCCACCGACCAGAGGGCAACAACAATGCCGGCGCCGGGAAAACGGGGAAACAACTGTCAGGTAACTACAGTTCAACCCTGCAGGTGCTGATGGCAACTGACTTTTACAATTGGCCAATCCTAGCTTTCCAGCAAAATTAGTTCATCCAACAAGAGAGTGACTTAACAATCAAATTTTTACATTTCTATGCTTTCATTGAAAAGAAACAAATCATTTTTACTCCGTGAAGGAGGTCAGGACCTCCGGACGGAGTGTTGTAATCGGCTGATTTTTCATGTTCGCAGTCAAAACACTGGGTTCTCTTTGTGTAATCAGCACGCAATTTTATACGCCGTCTGCGGGCATGCCCGTGTTGATGCACGAATGTGTATTTTTGCCGTTGCTGCTTTCGCGGTCAATGTAATATCGCAGACGCACCCCTACAATTACGAGGCGAATTGGAATGGTCCAGAAAAACGCGTTGTTTGGAATAGCAGTGGGGTTCAAAAAAGTTCATGCAGATACGGGGTGGTTTTTATAAGTGGTTCCAGATGTTTTTGCCCATGGTTAAGAGATGCCAAGTTTTTTGGAAGATGTTCGCAGCCAAAACGCATTCTTCCGTACGTCGCATTTCTGTGTAATTTCGCATGTGGTGTTGCATTATGTCCGGGATGATGCACGTCTTTTTATTTTTACCGTAGCTGTTTTGATATTGGAGTAAATGCTTATTTTCGAAACATCCCCATTTCTTTGAAATGGTTTCGTCCGTTTATGCAACTGTTACTGCGCTAATGACGACCAGTCGCGCTGTCCTGATACACCGCGAATGTGCGAGTGTTCCCTGTAGACAGTCCCGGGAGTCATTTTTTTCGCACATTCCAGGAGCCAAACCAAAATACGTTCATGAACCGAGTCCAAAAAACCGAAACGTGAAAATCGGATGATCGGACCTGATGTACATTTCTCTTTCTATAGATTGTACACACAATACACACATCTTTAGATAATCTGGCCATGGCAGGTTAAAAAAAAGTAACCCTGAATCATACTAGATTAGCGTAAATGCATGTTAATGCGTTCAAAACAAGAAAAAATTGTTTCCGGGTATTAATCTCTTGAATCACGGCGCTGAATATTGACGCAAAAATATTTCGGGCATCGCGCGCCCTTCCCGCGTCACGTGTAGGCATCTCGCATCTCTGATTGGTTGTTGCGTCTTAAGATGACTGAGCCGACGCGCGTTTAAACAATTTTTCTTTGTTCGATTTATCACACTTCACAGAGAATTGTCGCCAATGGCTACTTCTTTTTGTTGCATTATATAATACTTCACGGAGAATTGCCGCCTATGGCTTCTTGTTTTGTTTTGTATTTCGATGTGATATGCACATTTTTGAGGTGCACGTGGGTGGTACTATGGGATAGGTCTACATGTATTTTGTACCTGCCAGATTCCCACTCAATCACTGACTCACTCACCCATCCTCATTTGCTCCAGAGAGCAACTTGTCGCCAAGTTGTCTTCCAGGTTTCATAAAAACTTTCAAACCTCTGTATACAGCTGGGTAAATTCCATTATACAGCTGATAAATGGTCCACGGTGAAAAGTTGCCTGAAGGGACAATAAAATCATTATTGCTTTCCTGCTTTCTTTCACCTTTTTATAAAATCCCAGTTTATCATTCTGTTTGCCTTGACAATTAAA